AACACAGCCCAGTGCGTTTCTAATCAGATAATAAAAAACACAGATTTAGCCTGTCAACATATGTGTACATTTTATATACAACCCTAAAAAAAACAGTTCACTCCAAATTCTTTAGTGAGTAATTCTGGGTTTGTGTGGAGTGATTGTTAAAAGAGAGTAAGTATGGTATTTACAACTAAATTTGTCAACAACAACATAAATCTAAAGTGACTTAATACAGGTTCCTTATTTCAGTTATTCTAAAATAGCGTGTCTTGATTAAATGTACTAATAAGCGCCGCCTCTGGAATTACTTTGTATAATAATGTCTTACATTAATTAATCTCTTTAACTCAAACCTTAAATTAATTGACAGATTTTTCATGGTCCACACAAATACGTTTGTCACTCCACAGGACCATTCAGAAAACCTTTTATAGTGCAAAAATGAAAATGAAACACTTTAAATGTCCAGATCCTAGAAAACACACTTTCCCTTATACTTTAATTTAAATGAATTCCAGTCAAATCTTCACATTCACGTCCAATTATTATAACTGCCACTGGGTCCAACTTGAACAAATGCATAGTTATAGAGTCCACTTACATCACTGTCAACACACTAAGAAAACCTCTTTAAGCGGGTCATTTCCTACACTTTCCTAGCATTTTCAAGTAGGCAAAAGTGTCTCAAAGTGAGGAATTCATCTGTGGTCAAACACTCATGTGTGTAAATGTCAGAGAGAGTGTGTGTTCACACCGAGCCAGGACCAACAGGACTGTTACTATGACAACAGATCAGCAGCGTCAGACCGGCGTGAATACACACTTTCTTCTTAAGAAACAGCTCTATGAAGGATATTTCAATGTGAGCTCGAGAGCTAAATCACTCACAACATTTAAGCAGTAAGGTTCTAGAAGTCATGCTATATCGTGAATATAGTCACAGATAAAGAGTGCTGCTGCAAATTTTACAAATTATTTTACTAATAGTTTGAAAACGACAGACTTCTCTTTGAGTGGCAGAGCTGCTGAACAAGTGCTTCATTTCACATTTTACAGTCTGACAGAATTAAACACCACAAGATCTCACCACATTTCTACATTTTCTGTAGAAAACAGAGCGGCGTTTGCCTGTGCAAACACAAGGGCATCGTGGGAGGCTGCAGGAGCAGGGCTGTGTCGTCTTTTGAGGTCACTAGAGTTGTGTGTGGTTGCTAGGGAGTTGCTATGGAATTCTGGGTGTTTGCTGAAAGGAATAGTTCACCCAGAAATGAAAAATGTACCCATACACGACACGAGGCCATCAAAGAAACAAATCCATCATTAAGGCATTTTAACTTGAACATTTTAACTTTAACAATTAAACCGTCACTTCTGGTTTAATAATCCATAATAACGCTTCCTGCAGTGAAAAAGTCCATCTCCTGTTGTCTCTCACATCAAAATCCAGCCACATATTTGTTTAGAGCTGTTTAAACGCTGCTTGATCTGTGCAGATTTCTCTCCTGATTCACACCAGAACACTTTTTCACTGGAGGAAGAGTTATTATGGACTCTATGGTATTTTAGACATTAAAATCATCTTAATGCTGGATGTGTTTCAGCTTTTGTCTTCTCCAGATGTTCACTGATGGACTGGAGTGCTGTGGATTACTTGTGGATTATTGTGAGGTTTTTATCAGCTGTTTGGACTCTCATTCTGACGGCACCCATTCACTGCAGAGCATCCATTGCTGAGACACTGATGCAATGCTACATTTCTACAAATCTGATGAAGAAACAAACTCATCCTGATCTTGGACATCTCTATTTCTTTAAGTCAGAAGATCCTCAAATCTCTGTGATATTCTGGGCCAGTATAAGAAACCCCTTCAATTGAGAGTTTTCTTAACTCACAGGTTTCCTGCCGTTTGCACTTGCTCTGGGTCTTCCTTCGAAACTGTTTAGCTCCGTAATTGAAAACAAAAAGATGAGCCTGATCAGACTTTTAGCACACCTCTACTTAGCAAACTGCACAGTTTGAGGTATTATTAGCTCATATCGTGTCTGAAGCATGAACAGGACGAGTTGTTAATAGGGTTACAGGATTGTTCCAGTCACAAGAGTAAGCAATAGTAATACCTGTGCATAATTTACATTACTAAATACGGAATCAAGCATTATTACATTACAACTGAAGACAATATGAGCATTGCATTGTGTATAACTCTAAAAAAAAAATTAAAGAAAGATGCCACAACTTACTTAAAAAGCTGAGAAGAGTAAAAATCCTCTTGTATGAAGCAGCATAACCTCAAGTCTCTCAATAAAACATGAAAGCTAAGCATGTATATTTCAACAGGCTTGAGCGCTCGCACTCCACATTCAACAGAGCGACACACAGCAGATATTACAGCTCAATACTGTCTGCTGGCCATCACGACAGAAACGCATCAGCAGCGCAGAAACGTTACAGAGACCGCAGAAAATAAGCAGCACTCACCAGCTGAGCTCTCCACGCTCACACACACTCTGAGTC